TAATTTTTTCACTTTGATTTTCTTTGTGGTAAATCTTGGTTTTATTTTAAGTTTTATTTTGATCTTGAAATATCTTTTTAAAATACCAATTCACCCTTTCTTGGTTAGCCTCGGGACTAGTTCATAAGCGCTTAACATCCTTAACGAACTTTCAAGTGCCATCAGAGTAGTTTTAATCAATACTATAGAAGAGGGGGAAATCACAAATTAAAGGAAATCATCTAATATGTCAGGTTAATCATTATATATAATACCTGAAGACTAGAATAATCTTTGTAGAAGTTAACAACCTTTTACAATTCATAAAGAAGGGAGATAACTATTTACTCTCTGGAGGTGAATTATTCAGAAGATTAATGACCTCAATTCATCAAAGATGTGTACAAGAGTATGAAAAGGAGGAAGTGCTATACAAATTCAATTTGTGTGAGTGTGGGAGTCATTTTGGAGGACGAACACTATAACATAGGATCTTTTGATAAGGATATTTTTGGTTAGCTCTAAAATAAGATGCTAAGGATTTCTCTAAGAAAGGCTTTTAATGCCAAAGTTTTCAACCAATACAGCTACAATCTTTATACATGCTCTGAACTATTAATAGCTTTTGGTCATTCACTGTTTTGGGGATGAATTTGTTTTGACAGTTTCCCCCATCCATAGGACAAAAAAATTCACCAATTCATTAAAGATTATTTCACCAAATGGATCAAAGCCAAAGCACTTGCCCGAACAACCATGTCCATCATAAGAAACTTTATTTTGATTGACATTATCTTTTAATATAGGGTTCCCTTCACCATCATTATGAATAACATCCCCTAATTCATCGACCAAAGCTTGAGTGAATTTTGTAGCTCATAGGGGATCTCATTAATTCACCATCTTTAGACTAACGATCAGGTAGAAGCCATCAATAAACTCATTCTCAACCTCCTCGAGAAGAAAATAGAAGGCATTGAAGGAAAATGAGTCAATGTGCTCCCCTTCACACTTTAAGCCCTAAGGATTACCCCTTCTTCAACAACCAAATATACAAACTATTCGCTCTCCTATGGTGTGAAGGTCATTCTACTGATCGAACTCAACATACCAAGATAGGGAGTGGCTATCACTATCAACAATAAAAACACACACACCAGTGATTAAGAAGCAATCAATTAGGAAGGGTTGCAGGTAGCAATAAATTTTACATGAAGAATTTAGAACATAGCTCATAATAAAATAAGAAGTAATGAAAAGATTGTCCAAATATTATCACTCACACCTTAGAGAAAAGACCTTTTAAATTGCTTGCCTCATTTTGATAAAGGCATATGCAGTTGCTCGACATATTGTACTCGGTAAACTAGCAAGCATTTGAGAAGGTCTATATATCCTCAACATATAAGCAGCTTGAGTGCATACCTACTACAAACATATAATCTGAAGGAACTACCCAAAGTATGGAGTAGCGATGACCTCAAGATCTTGTATCCATGTAAGGGAAAATTTCCATACCATTGTCATATAATATTCTTAAAAATTAATAATAAGAATATTTTCTCTATCCTATATTTTTATTTGAGTGAGTTATTCATAAGAAAAATACACACTGGGAACTCACGATCCCATTAACACATGGTATGAGAATGACTCGACATGTAAGCTTAGTCTCCCAAAACTAACATGGAACTCAAGTTGAATGTGCATGCTGTTTATTACTAATAGAGTGAAATCCTACGTAAGGTTCTAAGAGAGGAATGCAATAAACCCCCTAGATGCATGGCTTATTAATAAGGAGACAAAACAAACTATAGAGGGATTAGCCAAGTCCAACCATGGTTGAGATGCAAGCCAAACTACTCTCTATAGGAGAGCCATGTGCCCTAGACGCTGAAGATATGCAAGCAAGCCAAATACCTGAAGAGAAGGTAAGTCACTACTAAAAATAAAGTTCATTCATTATTACTTGCTAAACTGATATGGTGAGGCACATTTCAATCCAAAAAATCTCTACAAAGCAACTCATCGTCCTTGATATATGGAGGAAAGAAAGAGACACCAATAAAAACTAAGTATAAAATAATACATTCAACCAATAATCATTCCCCCTTACACAGATATTCACATCATCAAAGCATGCCTTAAAGATGAGGGAGTCACCATTTAAAACAAAATATCAAAGGAATTTCATAAATGGAGCTCCAACTCAGTAAAAATATATGACTAACATACACTTTTAGTATGTGTCCTTCTGTGTTTCACTATATTACATGATAATAAGAAACAACCAAACAAAAAAGAAGTTATGGTAACAAATAAACCTTTTATTATTCAATACTTGATTATAAAGGTCAATAATTGCAATCAACCCTAGGGTCATGATCAATATAAAAATAAAGAGCATTAAAAAGTGGGAAAATATAAGTCAAAAACTCGGCATTTGCTCACTGAAAGTCCTCATCTCCCAGTGAGTCACCAAAGTCAGAGAAAGTAATGGTGTTGGAACCGTATATGATATGGGATTGAAGTGGAACCATATCCAAAGGACACCATTCCACTTCATGCAACGAACTTGTTTTCATACGAAGAATAGGAAAATATTCTAGAAGGATCCTCAAGGCTCATTTTGATTGGTATAATGTCTTCAGAAAGAATTCTAGGAGAGTGAACTCACTCATTGTTGCTCCCATAAATGTACCTGTTCGTGACAAAGAAACTTATACCCAACCTCTCACCCTCCCTCCCCCCCCCCGACCAACCCCGCCAACAAGGAGGAAAGACATGATGGAAGGTAATGGAAGAAGATAAGCTGTGCAAGCACATATGGGCATAATCATTGCTAGCCATCTTTTCAATGAGTTTGGTTGCTCACCTATCACATAAAGAACTACTTCTATCCTTAAAACTAATATAAAATAAGCTAACAAATTTTTTTCCCTCTCCTATGCCTATCGTATGTATGAGCTCCCATGATTCTTGACAAGATAAAAAATGTATTCTCCAAATTACACTTATTTAAAAAAAAGAATTATCTAAATACATATTTTTTATAGGAAAGAAATAAAATATTCCATAATTGAAGGAGCACCCCAGTGCCATAGATAGAGTGTCAACGCACTATGCTCATCCTAAGCACCAGAGTACTGTAAGGTATTACTAGAACAGTAATAAGCTAAATCCAAACATAGAGTAAGGCCACTGAAGTGAGAAGGAAGGAGCACCATAATGCTAGAGCAAGGTGTCGCAATGTCTAATTTCTATAGCACTACAAGAGTAATTTTTACTGAGAGTTGAATTGATAAGCTGATGTGATGACTAATAAACTGACCTATTGATTTAATATCATTACAATGCCACGTAGGTTAACACTGTAGTGCGAGTTCATTTATTTGTAAAAATTATAAATATGAAGCTTATTTCTTATGTAAGAGAGAGAGGATGATTCTATGGGAAGGGGGCTAGTCATTTGTTATTTATAGTTACAATAAGAGAGGGAGAGTTAGAGGGAGAGCAAGCCAATGAAGTCAATTTTAGTGATCAAAGTCTATAGACATGTTATATAAAAGAACATCCTGGTAATATCTATTCTTAACTTACATCTTATATTTTTATTTTATTTTGAAATGAATTGTATTTTATTTAGCTTAATTTTCATGGTTGGCTAGAAATTTTCTCTGGGCTTATAATATATAAAAAATTATATTTATTTATGATTAGATTTGAATTTCATGAATTATAATACGTTATTTTTAAATTCTTTATGCTTCATTGTATAGGCCTTGCATAAACTTAAAACCTAGTGTAATGTATAAGCCTCGATGGAGGAATAGTTGGACATTTAATGATTTAAAATTTTATTATGTCATGTATAGACATATGCTAGATAAAGTTTTGAAAGCTAAAGGATATATAATCACTATAGTTTAGAGAAATCTTAGCTAGACACTCAAATAGGCTCGATAGAGATGAGGAGTACTTATGATCTGGTTCACAATAATATTAATAAAGATCTATCTTTTGCACTCATGAATTTTTAACTATTATAGGTTTAGAGTAATTTAAAATAGGATTTTAATTTTAAGACTGAGTTAATAGTTTTTCATTAACAAATATTTTTCTTTCAATAGATAAGATAAATTTGGTAATTCATATAAGTAGAATTAAAGTGAACTTAGAGTAATTCCTATCCTCATTAGAATGATACTTTGCTAATTACTTTATTATTTGACATGGCATGAGAATTTCTATAAAATTAGAGTTTGCACACAAAAGAACCTATTTAAAGTGTGTAAGGGATCAAGTTTTCGGTGCCATTGTAGGGGATATTGGATAACTATTTTTTTATTTACTTTTTTTTTGTTTTAAAAATTGCTCATTTAATCTTATCATTATCTTTATTTATCATGCTTTATATTTGTACTATTATTTATTTCTACTGAATTTAGTATATTATTACATTGCAAATTATTGTGCTGTATTTACATTCTCTTTTTGTTTGTATTGTTGTTGTATGCATAGTAGGTCCTAACTAAAAGAAGTCTTGTTAGAACTAGAGATAGTAAAAACCCTTAAAAAGTTAAAAATTAAAAAAAAAAAAAACAACAAAAAGACTTAGAAATGGATGACCCAATGTAAGAAGAAAACCAACCTAGACAACTTAGAGAGTATGCAAATCAGAAAATCCCATGATAGAGGACATCCATTGAACTATTTGCTGACCCAATATCCAATCAAAAAAATTTGAACAAAACCCAGCTATCATTCAAATGGTAAAAATTTCTATTTTAGGAGAACTCCTCTAGAGGATCCCAATTTACATATAGACAATTTCTTAGAGATTTGCATAACATTTAAGTACAACTAAGTCTCTGATGATACCATTAGGCTTAGATTTTTTCATTCTCCTTAAGGGATAAGGCTAAGATGTGGTTGAACTCCTTACTGCTATGCTTAATTATCACATAGAATGATATAACTCATAAGTTCTTTCCAAGTATCACCCTCCCTCCAAAGCTATAAAACTTAGGAATTACATCACTTCATTCACTCAATTAGATGGAGAAATAATATATAAAACTTGAGGGTGATTTAAAGAACAGCTTAGGAAGTGCCCGTATCATGCCTTGGCTGATTAGATTATAATATAGGACCACCTATAATGTGTTGAGATAGTTGCTACATAATTTTGCATGTTTGATATTCTTGCAACTTGTATGTTTTTTATGATTCCAAATATTATTGCTTTGATTATTATTTCTCCTAACATATTTTGTAAGAATTGTTTTGCTCTTGTATGTACTAACATTTCAGAAAAATTATACTCCGAATTATTGAAGACTTCAAATCAAAATTAGTTTAGAGTTTATTGTAATTAAAGTATGTATTTTCCATTTTATTGAGTTTGAGAGAGTGTGATTATAATTGATTAACTGAGCACACACACACCGGGGGAGAGTTTAGAATTCATATTTTTAAACTGATCGTACTGTACGATATTACTTTGTACGGGATGATCTGGTCAATTATTTTTTCCCGACGAGTAGTTGAATGAATAGAAATGAAAATATTTTTTATAAGTATGAATCGTATTGGATGAGCTCAATCTTCATATAGGGACGAATACCTCTATTTTGTTCTCGCACAAAGATCATACGAGGTGATCTCAATTTTCGTACAAGAACGAACACCTCTATTTTGTTCTCGTAGGAAGATCATACAGGATGATTTCAGTTTCCATACAGGGACGTATGACTCTATTTTGTTCTTGCTGAAAGTTCATACGGTATAATCCAGTCTTCATATAGGGACGATGTTGAGTCTAGTGAATAGGTTGTTAGACCTAAGTTAATGTCCCAAGGCTACCAAGAGGGGGCAATCTCCAGTGTTGGCAGAGAATCGTCAGTCCTTTCACACTCTCCTAGTGTGGGCAGAAAACCTTTAATCCTTTCACACTCTCCTAGTGTGGGCAGAGAACCCTTCGTCTGTTCACACTCTCCTAGTGTCGGCAGAGAACCGAATCTCCTTGACAGATCTTCTCACTAGAAATCTAGAAGGAAGAAAGAAAAAGAGTGATGTAATCTCAAATCACAAGTTGGAAATCTTACCTTTGAATCACCAAGCGAAGCCTTTACGCTCCAGTGGTAGAAATCTTTCTTTGAATGCTCTCTCTCACTCTCTCCTTTACTCTTCTTCATATAGGCACGAAGTTCAATGAGCGAAAATATTGGGTGGCAGTCAAATTTGAATTATTTATACAAAAGACAAGAAAAACTGCCCAAAAACTGCAAGTTTTCAATTCTGTATGCAGTGGATCGTCCCGTACAATCGTGGATCGTCCTGGACGATTTTACTTAAATTGTCGGAAAATGAACCTTATGTATATTGGTACGAATTATGTTCATACACCCTAATCGTCCCGTACGAACAAAGTTCGTTTGGTAAGAAATGGTTATTTCATAGGTCGGTTTCCCAAAATTCTTCAGGACGTAACCAACTGACGTAAGTCGGTTCAGTTCATCCTGGGACGAACGAGTTTCGTTATGGGACGATTTTAAATGGAGAGTTTTGTCCAGGGATGAAAATTTATTTCGTCCTGTACGATCTCATACAGAGAGTTTCATCCAGGGACAAAAATTTATTTCGTCCTGTACGATCTCATACAGAGAGTTTCGTCTAGGGATGAAAATTTATTTCGTCCTGTATGATCTCATACAGAGAGTTTCGTCCAGGTACGAACCTTATTTTTCATCTGGATGAATAGTGCAAGTGAGAATCCCGAGAAGTTTGTCTCGGGATGAATATTAAATTCATCCTGGACGATTAGTACTTAAAAAAATTTTCTCCCCGCCTGTTCGATCCATTGATCTTCTTAGGGGTAATTGACATGATCGTCTCGTACGAACTATGTTTGTCCCGTACGATCAGTTTACAAAAATTGTTCCCCAAGTGTGTATTATGTGATTTTTCACTAAATTACAATCACTCCCTCTCATTTCAAAACTTATGAATATTTGTTGAATTTGATTACAAGTCTTCATATCTTGGAGTTGATTTTTCTGAAATGTTAGTACACACTAGAGCAAAAACAAATCTTTCAAAAAATATTAGGAGATAACAACATATAAAAAAATAATATTTGGAATCATCAAAACTATACAAGTTGCAAGAATGTAAAACATGCAAATAGCAACTTTCCTAACAGACGAATGCCTCTATTTTGTTCTCGCATTAAGATCGTACGGGATGATTCCAGTTTTTATACAGGGACGAACACCTCTATTTTTGTTCTTGCATGAAATTTTTTTAAAAGTATGGATCGTATGAGACGATTCTCATTTCATACAAGGACGAACATCTTGGGTCTATTCTTGCTCATTTCATCCTAACATTTTTTATAGATAAAATTTGAAATTTTCTAACTATTTGTCCCAGACGAACTAAGTTCGTACCGGACGATGATCACGTATGAAAAGATTTTATACCGATTCATAACAAGTTCGTATGCAACAGTATTTGAACTTTTCATACGTACGAATATATGATCGTATTATACGATCGTGTACGCTCTAATTTGAAAATTTTAATTTTCTGGACAGTTTTTCATGTCTTTTGTATAAAAGGTCCATTAAAGACTAACGTTAAAAATATTTACTTTATGATTTTTTAAGGGAAATTGAAGGAGAGATTGTTTGAGAGAGATTTCTTGCTAGTGGAGTGTGAAGGGTTCACAAGGTTACTCAAAGGTAAGGATCTCTATGTATGATTTAAGTTTTTCACTCTTCATCTTTTCTTTTTAGATTAGTTGTGAGAAGATCTTTGAAGAAGATCAAGTTCTCTGCCAACACTTAAAAAGTGTAAAAGGAGGATGGTTCTCTGTCGACACTTAGAGAGTGTGAACAGCCGAAGGTACTCTGCCTACACTTGGAGAGTGTGAAAGGATGAAGATTCTCTGCCTACACTTAGAGGGTATAAAAAGATGACAATTCTCTGCTTCACCGGGGATTGGTGGAAGAGAGTTTTGTAAAGGCTTCTCCGCCTTACTGTGGGGGCGAAAGGAGAGTCACTTTGATAATAGTGTAATACCTGAAGTAGGAGTCTTTAGAGAGTGGATGTAGGTCACGTTTCACCGAACCACTATAAATTTTTTGTGTCATTTTAATTTTCACAGCTTACTAACTATAAGTTATTTAAATTTTGTGGTTAAAAAGTTTTATTTTTTGAAACTTTAATTAACTTTCCTTTTTAATCAATCGGTTTCTAATTTTAAAATCCAAGAGAATTTTTAAAATTACTAATTCACCCCCCTCTTAGTTAGCCTTGGGACATAAGCTTAGGTTTAACAACCTATTCAAGATTCAACAAGAATCATTAAGTAGTATTAGAGCCTTATTTCAAAACCATAAGTTTAGATTACTTTTTGATAAATGAGCATGGCTACTTTTAGAAACCGAAATACTCCTGAAGGGTATTTGATCACTAGACCTCTTTTATTTGATAACATACCTTTCAATTTTTGAAAAACACGTATGTCTACATTTTTACAGTCATTAGATTATCATATGTGAATCTTAATATAAGAAGGGTATACAAATCCAACTAGATTAGTTGATGGTATAAGAGTTGAAACACCCTTTACTGAATGGTCTATAGAACAACGTGACTTAACACAGTTAAATTCAAAATGTTTAATTAGTTTTTTTTGTGCACTTAAGTTAGAAAACTACATACGAGTTTCCACTTCAAAAAGTGGAAAGGAAATATGGGATAGACTTTGTATTACATATAAAGTGACTAACAAAGTAAAGAAATCTAGACTAAACATCTTGTTACATGACTATGAATTATTTTGCATGAAACCTAATGAATCTATTTTTGACATATATATAATATTCACTCAGATAGTCACTTGTTTGCATGCATTAGGTAGGGAACTAATGAATGCTAAAATAGTTAATAAAATTCCTCGTTGTTTTCCTACTGCATATGATGTTAAAATAACTATTATTATAGAGTCAAAAGATGTAAATATTTACTCAATTAATAATCTTCTTGGATCACTAATTACTTGCAAGCAAAGAGTGAGTCAAAGAAAGATTGATGCTGGAGAACAACAAAAGGAGAAGAACATTACATTGAAAGTAGATGAGTCACAGAGTGATCTATCACAACCTAAGGATGTGAATGACATTGCCTTCATGATTAGGCAATTCAGGAGCATTCTTAAAAGGAAGCAGAGGAGACGCCAGCAGTGGAATAGAGGTAAATTTAATAAGAATGTTAAGATTTCTAATTATGTGATTTGCTATAAATGCAGGAAACCTGGACATATAAAATTGGATTGCCCAAACCTAAAAGCCACTCATAGAAAGGAGAAGGTAGAGGAGAAACCAAATTTTAAGAAGGGAAAGAAAAAATTCCAAAGAGCTTTTTGGGCGGACTCAGCTTCAGAATCGTCAAAAATAAAAAAGGAGGAAGTCACCAATTTGTGCTTAATAGCCAATAATCTTGATTAGTCATATCAAGAAGAGGTATGTGACTTAACCTATGCTGAATTGTTAGAAGTTTTTAAAATGATTCATGATGCATATAGGAAGCTTAAGAAAATGCATGCTAGTCTGAATTTAGAATTATAAGAATTATAAAAAGAACACAAAATCCTTAGGAAAGATCATGCAATAATAGATAACAACTATATAATCTTACTTGATGAATTTGATAACTTGAACTAAAAAAATTAAATTTTAAATTTATCATATGTTAAACTGGAAAATGAATTCAAAGATTTTAAGGATGGATCTAAAAATAGAGAGCATTATTTGAATTATAGTAATAATGTGTTAAAAGATTTAAACACATTTTTGAAATTAAAAGTTCAAGCTCTCGAGAAAAAGAAGAAACCACGAACACTTGAAGATTTCACTAATCCTATTTTATATCCAAAAGTTTTATAACTCACGAAGAGATAGAGTAATTATAGAAGATTGAGAAATCTATTTTCTAGAGTTAAATATTATTCTTATGGCATGTTTGGACATATAGCACACATCTATACTTTAGATAGGAAAACTCATTAGTGTGAAAACCTAAGATGCATAACTCAAGTCATATCATACATGCATCTATTTT